TTTTGTAGTTTGTTAAAAATGTCTTCATAGGTGGGTTTATCATTATATGCGCATTTTGTTAACCTTATATATATAAAAGAACAGGCCTTTTTTATGTACCAATTTTGTGACGACGCTATTTAACTTTTTTCCAATTTTTTTTCACAAAGTTGTTCCAAATACCTTCGTGAGTGTCACCACATCGCCCGATTTTCAAAATTTTGATTTTAAAGGGTTGAAATTGGCAAAAATAATTTTTTACGTGTAATTTGTAATAATGTATAATAATAATAATAACAATAGCAGTCGTCCTATCCATGTATTTATGTATCTATGGTTACGACATAATTATAATTATAATTAGTATGGGGAATTGGTGCCTGATTACCTTGTGTAGGGCGTAGTGTGTTAGTCTAATTGTTATAATTATAATTTTGATAAAAGTTTGGTCTAGGAAACTGGGTGTTTGTCATCTGGTTATTATGTGTGAGATAGTTGTAATTCGGATAAAAGTTTGGTCTTGGATTATTTTGATAATATTCATTTTGATTATTAAATATAGGTGGTTGGTAGTGTTGATTTCTATTATAAAAGCTGAATCCATTGTTATAGTTTGCTCTTCGTTCTGATAATTGTTGATAATATTGGGAATGTTATTTTGGGTTTGTCCAACTTTAATTTGACTTATATGATTTTTTAAAACCTCCATTTCTCTTCTTCTCCATTTACCTTGTCCTCCGTTCTCAATAGATTTGTTACTTCTAGTTTCTCTAGAGTTTTTTTAATGCTTGCGATCGATGTATTATCTGCTAACCTTATTAACTGAAAGGTTTCTTTGAGTACTCCTTTTAGAATGTGTTCACACATTTCTTCTTCGGTCATATTCTTGTTTATTTTATAGCATATGCCAACTATTTTAATTATGAATTCTTTATAATATGTTTCTCCTTTTGCTAGTTTCTGATTTTCCAATTTTCCCTTAGTAAGTGTTTATTTCCTACTAGGTAATGTAAATTCTGTTATTAATTCACTGACTTCGTTCCATGTTATATTTTCGTTTTTTGATTTTAGTTGTTCAAAAAAAATCTTCTGCTGAGTCCTTAAGATATAGTTTTATAATAATTACTTTGTGTTCGTCGTTCCATTCGTTTAGCTATTAGTTCAATTTTTTTATGAATTTATCTATATCCTCGTTTTCTTTTCCTGAGAAAATATCGGGTTTATGGTTAAACGCCATTTTTATACTGTGTTTATTTTTTAAAGATTTTTTTGAATTTTTTTCAATAATATTCTTAGTATTGATCTGTTCACCCGAAGTATTATTGTGGGTTTCTACCTTGAAATGTATAGGATCTGCTGTTAATATATTTTTTTTAGTATCTATATTTTCTGGTTCAGTTTTTTTCTTATTAGAATCGTCTTCAACAACAGTTACGTTCAATACATTTTGATCACTATTTTGTAAATTGTCCTCTGTAAAAGTTAAATCGGTTTGTTTAAGCTATCCTCAGCGTCTTCGTCGTTCCTAAAACTTTTTAATGCTGATTTTGCAAGATTTCTTAATTCATTAATTGTCGATGAAATGTCACTATGTATATTACAAAATTCTAAGAAACCCACTATTTCCGGTTTATTTAATAAATTTATCCACGCAACTGTTCGCTGGGAAATTATAAATTCAAATTTCTTTTATGCTGGTAATTGATTAAAATCTTCCTTTTCTAAAGTCTCAACTACGTATAGAGAGCACAGTGTAAATTTTTGAACAAGTTTTACTGACAGAGGTAACTTTCCAAACCTGGAATTTGAAAAATAGTTACCTAAATCGACTTCTTCGATTTGCCGTAATAAATTTATTAGATTAATTTCGTTTATTTCGGAATTAAAAGTTTCATTCAGATATAATATATTTGTTCTATCCACTTTTGTTATTTGGTTATTCACGTTACGTTTTATGTAAAACTTGTTGTCCATTAAATACTTTTATTTATCGCAACATTGCTTATGTTCACTTACAATAAAATAATTCTCTTATAATTTCTCTATTATATAACTAATATGTAATTTACTCCTATTCTTAAAACTTAAAATATCGTAACTATCCAAACAAAATTCAATTACTTAATTTTTATTTTTACTATATAATTTCTTTGATAACATAACCCCTATATGCAATTTACTCCTATTCTTCAAGCCCGGATTAAGGGGGGGCAAGTCCCCGGGGCCCACGTGTGTAAAGGGCCCATAGTCTTCTGGGCTTAAAATTACATCGAGTGATAATTTTCACTTTTTATAGTACCTACCTACAAGAATATTTTTATTTTTTATTTTTTTCTTGTTTGAACTAACATGCGATGGGCACGTCGACCGTGTTTACCACCTATAGCATGGTAAGTGTTGACACATAGCGTCATAGCCAGGTTTGTGTGTATAAGGAATAGGCATATATTTCGTTATCACTGGTTTTAAAAATAGAATTGGGGTAATTTGTTCATGTCGTGACCGTCTCAGTCGTGGATACTCAGAATTCAGATACCTACCTACTAAACTGTCTATTATCTTTATAGTTTATTAGTCACAACATTATATTATTTCTTTCGTATGTAATGTTATTGTTGATGTGTAGTCGTAAAGACGAACAGTTGATGTTTAATGTTTTATAGTTCGTTTTGAATTATTTTTATTAATACGTAATTGGCGTTTACATTATGTCAGCTGCAAGTAAAAAATATTTAAGTGGTAGTCAAAAAAGAAAATTGAGAAAATAAAATCAAGACAAAATACAAAAGTTACCAAAAATCGATACATTTTGTGTTAATTCTTCAGCTGGTTCTAAGAAAGGTAGGTATTATATAAAAGATATATTTAATTAACTATTGTTAACTATTAGGTACACCATTATTAAGTATATAACTTAAATATATACCTCGATAAAAACAATTATGTATTTTATAGATGTATCTCAAAATTCTGAAATACAGAAAATAACAGATTTACCAATTAAATCGGCAGTAATTAAAATTGATAATGATGAACAGCAAATTCATAACTCTAATACAGGTAATAAAATACGTCATAACATATTTCAATTTTTAGTATTATTATTTTACAATACTGTTAGTGTTTAATATCTGAAATTCCGGTAGATAATTGTACAGTTAAACAAATAATCATTTTCAAAGTAAATTTATAATTCTATGAAAAAAGAAGAAAATTTTTAAATGAAATTATTTATTCAAAATTAACATGCTTATGTAATTTATAGATGTATCTCAAGATTCTGAAATAAATAATTCAAATGATGCAAAGGGTGTATTAGTTCAGTCAGCAGTGATGTATATGCACTGCAAGGATTCCTTTTACTGGCCAAGCATAATTGATGACAACTTTATATCCTATTGTATTGAAAAGGGACCAGAATTTTTTCAAAATGATAATTGTTCATTTGAAAAGTCAGCTAGAAAGAAAGGTGATTGGTGAATATAGAAAAGTTTAATAAATATTATATTAGTTTAAAATACAAATTATTATATTTATTATAATTAGTATTTCTATGACTTAAACATTAATTATTATATTACTATTGTTAATTATTTTTATATTTTAGAAAATGATCACAAGACATCTATCACTAACTTCTTTTCAAAGAAAGTTACCAAATGGCGAGAAATGTAAACGACAATGGTTAATGTATTCTCCTAGTCAAGGTGTTGTATATTGTTTTATGTGCAAGCTTTTTGGAAGTGACCATCAAAAGAACCAAAGTCATTTTGTAGGTACTGGATTTTCAAATTGGAAAAAATCAAATAAAATTGAACTTCATGAAAACAGTCTTGAACATCGAAGTGCTACAACAAAATGGTTAGTACGATCAAATACAAAAACATCTGTTAATAAAGAAATGTGTAGACAAATTTTAGTAGAAAGGGACTATTGGATTCAAATATTTAAGCGTATAACAACTGTTATTAAGTTTCTGGCTATAAGAGGATTACCTTTTAGAGGAGATCATGAAATTTTTGGAGTCAACAACAATGGAAATTATTTAGGCTTATTAGAGCTTATTGCTAATTTTGATCCATTTTTAAAAACACACATTGAGTTATATGGTAATAAGGGGAAATGTCATATATCCATCATATATGTTAAAAACCATTTGTAATGAAGTTATAAACATAATGAAAAATGATTTGGTTAACTTTATAGTAGAAGAAGTTAAGCATGTAAAATACTTCTCTATAATTATGGACTCTACCCCAGATCTGCCAATTAATCAAATGGCTATAGTACTAAGATATTGTATTTCATATATAGTTTAAGAGCGATTGTTTCATCTAACACCAGTAACTAGTCATAAAGGAGAGTTCATTTTTAATATCTTAAGTGAATTTCTGAAAAATACTGAACTTGATATAAAAAATGTTCGTGGTCAATCCTATGACAACGCCTCCGACATGAGTGGCATATATGAGGGACTTCAGGCACACGTTAAAAATCAAAACTCTTTAGCTGTATATATTCCATGTACAGCCCACTCGTTAAATTTAGTGGGTGTACATAGTGTAGACTGCTGTGAAGAAGCTGTAAATATTTTTAGTTTTTTGCAAATGCTATATAATTTTTTCAGTGGCTCTACTCACAGATGGTCAATCTTAACCAATTCATTAGAGAAAAAGGATAAAGAAAGGTTGTTATTTTTAAAGTCTTTAAGTGACATAAGATGGGCATGCCATTCTGAGGCTTGCCGTGCACTCACTATTAATTATAAAACTATATTAACTGTACTTTTTGAAATATCTGATAGCAAAAATTAAAATGGGGATACAAAATATAATGCAAAGGTGTTGTTAAAGAAAATGTTGAAAAAAGAAACGGGCTATTTGTGTCTATTTTAGATTGACATATTACAACATTGTAATAAAGTATCTATTGATTTACAAAGCAAAAGCAATGATATTTTAAAAGCTGTGAATTTGTTGAAAAGTTTAAAAAATGTTGTTTCAAGTTTAAGGGATTCAAACATGGTCTATGAACGTAGGGTTGGAGAGTTTTGTTCCCAAATAAGGATCATATATAAAGATGAAAATAAAAGAAAAATTATAAAAAAATGTCCTGATGGTAACAATAAAACTTTAACTGCACTTAGTGGTATTGATAAATTTCGGGTTGAAACACATCATGTTATAGTTGATAAATTTTGCTCAGAACTGGACAAAAGAATAAATGCATATAGTGTAGTGGTTGAAAATTTTTTATTCTTGACTAGACTACATGTTGAGTCTACTATTGATGTTGAGAAAAGTGTTAACAAATTCATTAATGTATATAAAGATGATGTTGATGGTTCAATAAAGTATGTAATTGTACATTTCAAGCAGTTTTGGGATCAGTTAAAATCAGCATTTGATAGAAGTGATGTACTCAAGATATTTGAATGGATGACTGAATGTAATGTTATTAATATTTTCCCCAACATTCATATTACTTTAAGAATATATCTTACCATTCCTGTTGCTAATTGTACTGCTGAGAGAGCATTTTCGAAGTTGGCCAGAATTAAAAATAAAAATAGACCTTCTCAAACACAAGATAATTTGTCATCATTAATGATTTTATCAACAGAAAATGATGTTCTTCAAAATTTAAGCTTCGATAAAACATTAGAAATATTTGCTACTCAAAAAACTAGAAAAAAACTTTTACTTAAACAATACTTAATTTTATTTGTAAATATGTATTAAAAAAAAAATTATGTTTTTAATATTTGTATTCTCATTAATTATCATATATTATCATTTATTATTATCATATTTAAATAAAAAGGTTTAAATTTGTTTTATTGTATGCCTACTTTTATAATTTTAAAGAATTGTTTTTATTGATGCCCCTGAAGGTCTTAATCCGGGCTTGCTATTCTTAAAACACAAAATCTCGTAAATATCCAAAAATAAAATTAAATTTAAATTTAAATTATTAGGTACCTATACATAAATATTCAAATCCTGTAATTCTTTCAATTCTTTTACTCTTATTCTTAATACTTAATATATAATGTATATCATTAATCTAAAATAATAAAAAAAATCTCAATTATTCTTAACACGGCTACACTTTTTATTTACAATTTTATTATTTTCCTACGCTTCAATTAACTAAACTTAATAACTAATAACAAAATAAAAAATCTAAACCAATCGTAAATATCTGTAACTTCAACTACTTAAGAGCTCCAGCGCCTCCACCAATATGTAACGTGGTCGGGGACGACCCGTTAAATATGAGATATTCAGGGAAGAAATTAATTCTTTTGAATATATTTTTACCGTAGCTCGGGAGCACGAATGGTATTAGGATCTTAATATTACAAATAAATAACTATTGATCTAAATTATTATTAATACAAACAAATTATTTATTATAACTTACAATTTACGAACAAAGTTACCAAAAATGTAGGATTGTACGGAGTTCGGGTGCACGTGATGGACTCACGGAGAACTGCCATTCTCTTACATAGGGATATTGGCCGGAGCCTTACAATCATAAAATATATATGTGTCACCTAAACCGGAGGGGCTTAATATTAATATTATAGTCAGGACATAATATGCCTAATGTGCATATTATGATGCTTATAAAATAAACGTAATAATGTAACATACGTCACAATATAAATAACACCATAATGCTAATTTGGCACATTAGCACAACACACCACCTTTGGATGTAAAAGGGAGATCTGGAGCCTATTCCACCAACACACTTTACAACTTTTCACTTTTCACTTTTCATTTGTTTTTTTGTTCCACCAAAAAGTGGAAAGTGAAAAGTGAAAAGTGAGGATTGAAAAGTTTACCACTTTTCGTTATGTTTTCTATGTTTTCATTCCACCATTATATTTTTTGATGAAAAGCTTTTCGACTTTTCATTAAATATTGATAAAAAATGCAAATAGAAATTTTACTCTACAATAATTTTAAGTGATTTTTTTTTACAAAAAAATTTAGTTGAAACGGTTATAATAAAGTACATCAAATCTGTACATTTTATATAAATACTGTTATTATAATTTAGGATTATAATTATTATGTTAAGATTAGAGTGGCTCTTAAATGATGATGGCTATGATGACGGACGACCTCGACGAGTATACTTTGACTTATGTGACCGTCAGTACCGTCAATGTTTTCGACTTAACAAAAATCAAGTAGCGTTTATTTTAAGTAAGATTGAACATATCCTAACTCATGCGAGTATTCGAAATAAGGCAATCACAGCAGAACATCAGCTATTAACTACATTGAACTGGCTCGGCAATGGCGCACAACAACATGGTATTGGAGCTACTCATGGAATATCAACTTCATCCGTCAGTAGGTGTGTTCATAGGGTCGTTAATGCGGTTGTTACTCATATGTATCAAAATATTGTCAAGTGGCCCAACAACACCGTTAAAATAAGAACGACATTCCTTGAAAAAGGTGGTTTTCCCAGTGTAGCTGGCTGCATTGATGGTACATTGATCAATATCGATGCGCCAAATTTAAATGAAGAACAATTTATTGATAGACATGGCAACCATTCAATCAATGTGACAATGGTTTGTGGTCCAAACCATGAATTTTATGCAGTAGACGCTAACTGGCCAGGAAGTGTACACGACGCCAGAGTATTAAGAAATACTAATGTACCTATTTTCTGCATTTGAGAGTGGGTGGAGACCATTTCCCGGAGCAGTGCTTTTAGGAGATAATGCATATCCATTAAAAGAATGGCTCATTCCACCTCGCCACCAAAACCATAATGATGAAACTGAACAACGGTTCAATCGCAAACATAAATCTACACGTAGATTAATAGAGTAGCTATGGGATACTCAAAGAAAGATTTCCATGTTTGAACCATCTTCGAACACAACCATACAAAAGTGATTGTGATGTGTTTCATAATATTGCATGTTTAATTGACCATGCACCAACTGAGGAGTATGTATATAACGAAGAAGATAACTTCCAAAATATACCAGAAGAGTATCAAGAAGAGGCCCCAAATGTTGGTGCCATGAATAGGGTTAACTCATTATTAGATTATTTTAGGCGTAGGGTATAATTCAAGTTATGTTTGTAAAAAATATATCTAGCAACAAGTAACTAAGAATCTTTATAAATATAAAAATGTCATAGGTATAAAGGTATAGGTATAGGAATAAACATATTAAAGTATTTAACTTTCAATCATAAATAATAGTATTTAAATAAAATATAATGCAATAATAAGATAATTATACTAGGTATAAAGTATTGTTAAATAAAATACACAATTTTCAAAATAAAATGTTCTTTATTAAAATATAAATGTATATATAATATATTTTAAGTTTTAATCTGCAACAATCTTCTGATGGAAATACTAAAGAAGCAAAATGTAGTTAATAAGTATTTTTATAGCGTTAGTTTATTTTGGGTTTTAATTTTCATCATTTTACAAAATATATTATTCACTGACAATTAATTGAAACTTATAACTTATAAGAAAAGAAACACAGACTACAGAAGTTTTTGGTTTTAACTTTTAAGCCGACTAAAATATGATAAGTGATAACAGCTGTTTAACAATATGATAACAAAATGAAAAATGGTAACTCAATTATCATAATGTTACCATCATTTGCAAAGTCTATTAATTAATTTTTATTTTTTATGTGGAATGAAAAGATTTCGCGGTTGAACTCTGGCTTTTGGGTCTGGGAAAAAAAACGCGAAAAAATTTCTAAGTCCATATCACATCTATAATATTATCACTACAGCAATACTCTGCAGTGTTGCCATAATAATAATTTTATGTACCACAATAATAATTTTATACTACGTAATAATCACAAAAGTATTCTAAGTTCAAAATAATCAATTTATTCACTCGTTCATTTTCCAAAATATCACTGCACAAATTAAGTCCAAAATAATATTTCAAAAGTGTCAACTATAACGAACACCTAGGCTTTCGGATTTTTGATTTTTCCATTTTCCGACCACTTTTCACGGACCCCCTTGGCTTTTGGGTCTGGGAAAAAATGTCAAAATATCGAAAACGTCTAAGAGGTTTTTTGTTAGTGTACCGTTATAGAAAAATACCATGTAGTCGCATTTTTCATTTTTCCATTTTTAATTAATTATTTTTATTATTAAAACGTAATAACGTAACGTAACGTTATTCATTACATAAAATATTCGTATTTGAATTGCATTCGCCTTACTTGAAATTATTTTTATGACTAGTACGTTACTTTCCTTTTTCATTCAAAAAGTAGAGCTCCACAAATATCGTTAATTTTTAAAAACTAAAAATTATAACTGACCACGAAATGTACATTATTTATTTTATTAAATACCTATATCAAACAACTATAATTATTGTTGTATTTAATAAATATATTGTTTATTTTAATGTCTTATATCATATTTTTTTAAATATAATCATAAGAACTTTAAAATGTGGTGGCCCTAAAAAGGGCCGTTTTAAATGAGTGCGCTAATCACGCAGCGGCGGATCGTCGAAGTTATCTGTGAAAATAAAAATTTAATATTATCGGTTTTTTATAGTTTATATGCACCTAGAGTGGAAATTTCCCTTGGAATTAAAAACAATATTATCGGGACATAATATTAACCTAGGTATACAAAATTATATTTCATAACATTTTTTTTACCAAGGTAGGTTAGGTTAGGTACCTCTAGCATTCTGGACAGTGACAATCGTCAATGTCCCGTTTCATTGGTTCGTATCCAATGCCCGGAATGCCCCGGATATACCCTTGCAATGTCGTTCATAAACCTTTTGAAACGGTCGCTGGTTGTTGGAAGGCGGTTCAGTATATTGGTCCGATACATCCATTCGCCAATGTATGAATCCGCCACCCGCTTGCAATTGCATCTTGTTAAGATGCGTTTTAATTCCCTCCACGATCTTTCTATATGCTGCGTGTGGTAGCTGATTGGTTCTTGGTTTGGTGGCCGAACTCCTTCCCACTGCTTATCTAAGCACTCTTGGCTAAATCTGCCAGTCCCTACCCAAATTGGTGGCTCATTTTTTGGAGGCTCTACAAAGTTGATTGAATGGTTTACCACTCCATGACCACTAAAATGAATTAAAAATATCTGTTAATTTGAGCAGCGATATTTTGGAAAATGAACGAGTGAATAAATTGATTATTTATTTTATATTCTATTCATTTTAAAAGCCTGTGTTTAAATACTGTGTAAATAAAACTATTATATACAATATCTTCTTGTGTTTAAGTTATTACTCGTAGTAACCAATTTGGTCACTACAATTTGTATCTAGGTTGCGAAATTTTAAAAGTTTCCCTTCAAATAGCGGCCAGAATAAGTACAAACTCTCGGAATGTGGATTTTACTATATCAATCTCAACGATGCAGTTTAATGCCATTGGTGTGGAATAATTCTACATAGTTTTGAAATCGACGATAATCGTTTTATAGAACATACTCGATTCTCCCCTAGATGTTTATTTGTATTATTAATGAAAGAAAATCAGTTTGTTCAAAAAATCTTAAGTCAATATTGTAAAACCGAAGTTATATGTAATTTTGCAGTTGGTTACGACACCATTTGTTAAATCATTTTTTTTTTTAATGTGTTAATATTCGATTTAATATCTCGTAAGCGTATGGTCTTGCGAATTAATGCGTATAAAATAATTTTAAATGTTTTTCAGGTAATAGGCTAATAAGTATAATATGTAAATTCCCTCTCTAGTATGCACTAATTGGCTATCTGTACGTTCACATTTTTTGCATTTTTTTTTCTTTTCAAAGAGTTTTTTAGTAGGTATATAATATGACTGTAAAGGGAAAAAACTAACAGTTCAATGTATAACTCCTAATAATTATATCCCACTTTTTATTTATACAAAAGATTTTTAAAATAAATTAAAATATATATAATGCATTTTATAAATATATAAAATAAATAACTTCACTATGAGTAAACCAATAATTGTCAGTAAGTCTACATTCGAAATCCGGGCTTTTAACAAGTAAAGTATTACATTTGCATTACTAATTAACAAGCAGATTTAAATTATGTTATTATTGGAATGTAAACTTTCAAAGAAGATTATCACATTAAGTTTAGAAGACTGAAGAATGGTTTACACTGATGTCTGAATCTAATTACAATTCAATTATTAATAATTTAAATACCAGAGTGAGGCGTGTAAAGATCACCGATTCCTTTTCATATTCAATCAATGTTAAACAGAGTTCAATTACCCTACATCTAAACGAGGAATACATCACTTTGTCACATTTAGATTTGTACCGGCTTCGTCAATTACAGAATTTGATAGATTTATATGTGGGAAACAAGCAAAAACGTTTAGCAAATTAGCAAATTACTTTCAATACTGCATATTATGACCTAATTAAAAATGATGTCCGTGGTCTACCGTCCACCTGTCAGAGGAACGAATTTACCAACCAATATATTCAAAATTATGATTTTAATTATTATAATCACCTACAGAACGATGACACATCATTTTTATATGAAATATTACAATTCCATTTTAACACATTTTCCGATATGATTTTACAAGATCTAATATTATAAAATATATAAATATGTTTAATTATTGTTTTTTTTTAATAAATCTTTTTTTATTCAATAATAAACTTGCTATTTTACTTAATTACATTTCACCTTAAATCATAAAGAATAGTTTGAATGAGTTTTAGTTTCAATATTATGTTTTATTCTTATCACATGTTGTCAGTGAATAAGTCACAGATTTCTATACATTACTAGATAGCGAACTCCGGTCATGAATTGAAGCTTCAAGGTCGGTTGGCAATTGTATGGTATTTCATATGACAAATAAGATGATATTATGATTTATTTTATATCGTATTTTTTTATTTCTAAACATTTAGGTTACAAAAAAAAAAAATATTTTATATAAGTCATTTTACATTTACTATTTTATATGACCGTTAAAAAAAATATTATTCCTAATACATTTTGTATAATAAATGAAATGTTTTGCCAACCGACAAAATGGCGGCCGTTCAAAGCTGAGCTTCACCTGTAACAATGTAAATTGTATACGAGTTCCTTATCTAGTGTAATATAGAAGTCTGTGGAATAAGTAGATTAAATTTCATAGTACAGACTTGATAACAATGTTTCAACTAGACATTTTTTTCCAACCAACTATATAGTTTATGTTTTCCAAGACCTTTGAGTTTTTGAATAAATAAAAACATACATGTATAATTATATTTTGTTTATTAAATGAAACTCATTTTTTTCATGTAATAATCAAACGGTCGTCTTGCTTTTAATAGTTTGACGCTTCGGATCGGTTAGTAATTACTAATTTGTCGAATATGGTTTGCAGCATCTTATTAAGACCAGTATGAAGCCTTTGATCTTTTGATTCGTCGCTCGTGTAGGATCTGACAGTAGAACTGTCACTAAACTTCCACCTATAACAACAAATTATTTTATTTAAAAACAAAAGAAGTAAATAAAATCAGTGAAAAAAAAAATTCACCAATAGGCTTTTTTAAATTTAAACCAATGTATTTACCTGTCTTTTACTGGCATATTCTCAATGTTAGCGACCTTATAGTGGCTAATTACCCAAAGCTCCTTTCCTTTTTCTTCAAAAGGCGTCTTTATTGTCAC